TTTGAAGATACTCCCGTATGTTAATATCTTTTTGATCACCAGCACCTTGGAATTTATGTATGTACATAAATTATGTACATTTATGTACATAAATATTTATGTATGTACTTGGTTTTATTGTATTTTTATACTATTTGTATTGTATTTTAATTAATATTTATTTGTTGTTTTTATTGCAAACTGCCCAGAGTTACTTCCTCATGAGATGGGTGGTGTCCAAATTTGAAATATAAAAATATAATATAAAATATAAAATAAAAAACTGAGTTTCTTGGATGGGAGTTATGTCCAAGAGGAGCCCTGATATATTGTGTGTGGTAACTGAAGTTGTGTGTGCTTTAGGCGGAGATACACAGAATGTGCTATCTGTAGCATGAACTATTGACTTTCCAACAACCTTTTCCCCTTCCTGTGGTCTTGCCTGGGAACATGGGTTCCAGCATTTGGCTTACAGCAAGAAACCAGACAAGCATGGATAACTTCTGCAGCTCTTGCTCTCTTCTTAGAACCTGTTCCTCCCCGTCAACAATATCCTGGTGCTGAGTGAGTGGCACTCAGAGACTCCAGCATCAGTGATTTTGTTGAAGAGGGGGTGCTTTACCATCTCCTGGACCATCTTTTATGGACAGAAGACGGGGATGTCGTAGATGACTCAGGTTACTGAGCTGGAATAGAATAGTGCCTAGAAGATAAGCCATTTAAAGAGCCTGCCTCTCTCTCTTTCTCCCTTCCTTCCTTTCCTCTTTTTTTCTTTCTCTCTCTCTCTCTCTCTCTCTCTCTTATCTCTTCATCTTTAACATGGGTATAAAAACTTTGGTACTACCTTTCAGAGTTGATATAAACATTTGATTGAGTAATGTGTGTAAGATTTTAAATGTTACATAGCCTTGCAAAGGAAGAGAAACAGGCCCATGACTGCTATGTTGGACATCCCTGCTAGTATGAAAAAGGCAGCTATGGTGGTTGTTGGGATCAGCAGTTCTCCTGGAATTGCAAAAGATGCAAAAGTATATGTTGAATAAACATGATCAATGGAAGTCCTACCATGGTTTGGTTTCATGCAGTTGCAAGAGTAGCTATAACCACCACCACCACTGTGATCACTGATAGAAAACCGTGTGCCAGCAGTAAGCTGGAAAGGCTGAAATACCTTTGCCATTTTTCAAAAAAGCCCTCTGTTGCCTAGCCATTTTCCACATTTTTCAAGGAGATGTTTTCTCTTGAGGGAGGTAGCTAAGATAAAGGTGCACGCAGAATCAAGGTGGGCAGCTGCTTGATTCAGCTCCCAAGAATTAGAGTCAATGTGCTTATGTAGGGGAGCATCTCTGCTTTGAATTCTCAACCTATTCTAAAGAATGGTATTCCGGATTTTGGGATAAGTATGCAGCTGTTTTGTTTTAAAACTATTGGAATCAGAAACAGATTTTGTGTGGCATAGCTTGCTGTTACATCCTGCAGAGAGCAGATTAATTAGTAGAGTGGGAGGTGGTTTCTCTCATTACTGTTGATATCTGACACAATCCTGCTTTCCATGTCATTCTTAAAGTTGCTAGACCATTCTCAGGGCTGGCCTTGAAAGCTCTACAGGTGATCAGTTGCATGCATCTGTCAATCAGAATGGTACACCCCTTAAACACGTGGTTTTATGTTAGGAGGATCTTGCTGGAAAATCAAGAGGAGAGAAGCTGATAGAAAGCTGAATTTATTGTATCCCAGCTGGTACGCTGTTGTAAGGTGGCTTGGCTTTCAAACTCTGCTTCTTTCTGAGGATTTGTTTGTTGACACATTTCCAGGGCTAATCAGAAATATTCCTTGTTGCCGTTGATAGGCTAGGTAAAAGTAATAAAAGCAGATTAGCAATTCTGTCCTGCACATCTGCTCTGCTCCCCAGTTTAGGGGTTCTGCTGCTAATCTGATCTGCATCATAATGGCCATTTGATGCTTCATGTATAAACCCCTTTGGCTATTTCTTTTGTCTAGTGACTTGGCCTTGCGGAACTGCTTACTCACAGCTGACCTGACTGTCAAAATTGGTGACTATGGCCTTTCTCACTGCAAATACAAAGTAAGTGTGTTTGGGGGCAGGGAGCTAGGGGGCCAGGGAGTGCGAGCACTTGCTATTGGCAGGGCTGTACAGAGGACTTGAAAGGCTGACAATGAAAGCAGCCATCTTTCAGTGATGGTTGAGAGAGGATGGGGGGGGGGGAAATGGGTAAGAGACAAATATGGGACATGATACACTGAGGCAAGTCAGAAGCTAATACACATTCATGCACAGGATCTTAGGCATATACATTGGGAATACATTCCTCTCATTCATATATAAATGACTGCCTTTAAAGGTGGCTCATAAATTTTGGCTGATGCAGTACTGTTGGAAATGAGGTGAATCTGTATTACTAATAGCACTGGTTGCCAGTGCAATTCTAAGCTGCATTTAAAGTGCTTTTTCATCTTTAAAAAACTTTAAAATCTTTGCAGCTTAGTAACTTAATGAAGCACCTGCACCCACTTGCTCATACTTTAAGACTTTAAAGAAGGCTTTTCTTATTGGCTTGCTTTTTAAGAGCAGTCATATTGGCAGGTGCAAGAGAAAAGACCTTTCTGTACATATAGATACATACTGTATCTCTTGAATGATTCTGACAAAGGAAGGTTATGAACCCCCATCATTATCGTTTAAAAGGCTTATTTGTTTTCTATGACCTTCCCTTAAGCAGTGTTTTTATGGGAGTGCAATTTAGTATTTTGGGGTGAGATGTTTACTTCATCATCACTAACTTTTATTAAAATGTATACTTATTGTTTGTTTATTCCATAAGATACTTTGGGAAGATCTGTATTCTGAAAGGCAGACTAGAAGTATTTTAAATAAAATAAAAATTAATAAACCAGGGTCAAATGGCTGAGTTGAAGAGGTGAAAGGGCTAGGATAAATTGGTGGAGAGATTCAATAGAGTTGGCCATATTTTTCATTGGCAAAGGATTTTAGAAGTTCCCACTTACGACCAGGAATGGGGCTGGCATGAGAGTGAGGGGGCAGGTTGTATTGTTGCTGGTTTGATTGACGTGCTCTCCCTTTGGCCCTGCATGCCTGGCAGGATGACTACTTTGTGACAGCTGACCAACTATGGGTTCCATTGCGCTGGGTAGCCCCTGAATTGATTGATGAGGTTCACGGCAACCTGCTTATCGTCGACCAGACTAAGACTAGCAACATCTGGTGAGAAAAATCTGGGTTGATGTGATGAAATACACTTGTCCTGGGAATGGAATACTGGCTCCAAAGGTTTTAGACAAAGCAGGAATAGATATGTTGAAGATGCAACCGCTTGAGAATACAGCAGTAAAGCTAATCTTATAGAAGCATATAATGTTAATTATATGTAAACTTCACTGATCATCTGTTTATTTCTGGGTAAATTCAAAGTTCTGGTGCTTATTTTGGAAAACCTCTATAGTTTAGGGCTGAGATATGTAAAAGAGAATTCCTGCCCCCCCCCATGTATCTTCTTGCTCTTAACAAAGTAGGACTTTTATTATAACAGCCTTTGAAGTATGAAATTAACCTAATGGGGTTTTCAGGAGTTAGGATCTTGGTTCTTGTATTTAGATGTTATTGACTGGAGTATGGAGTGGGTGGTGTGTGCATGTGTTTCACTGAAGTATCTCTATTTCATAGCATTACTGGAATTTTTCCTATAAATTGGTTTCATTTGTGTTTTCCATGTCTAGATTTTCTCTCTTGATGGTGAATTATAAAAGGTGCTTCTAGATGAGAGTTTTATTGGGCAATTGTCTTGCCTCAGTCACAGAATTTTGTGGAGAATCCAGCTATTGTCTTCTTTTACTTGCAACCTTTCCATTTTCTCCTACTGCTTCTTTGCATAGAGGAAAAGACATGGTATACTGTCTTCTCACCTGGAAGCACCTGAATATTTCAGTAACTAAAAGTGGCTATTCTGACATCAAAGACTATGATCTTGTATATTGATCTTGAATTCTGGCGATAGTGTTCTCCGCTGCTGTGGGCATTTTCATCTTCCCTCTCTTGGCAGGTCTTTGGGTGTGACTATCTGGGAGCTGTTTGAGCTGGGTGGCCAGCCCTACTGCCATTATTCAGATCGGCAGGTCCTCACTTATGCCATCAAAGAGCAGCAGCTTAAGCTTTCCAAACCACAGCTTCCGCTCTCACTGTCTGATCGCTGGTGAGTGACTGGGTGGGGACAAGGGTTGTTTTAGGAGGGCAAGGAATAGAAGTGGGTGATTGGAATACAGGGACAACATGGTGGAGGGAAGTAAAACTTCCTCTTGAGTATAGTGTTCAACCTGCTTGAACATGTAAGCATTCATCTTACTTGAATAAGCAAATGTTTGATGGCTAATGCATTAAGTCATATGCAATTGAGTTAATGAAAGATGGATAGACAGATATTTGCCTAAGGAGTACAGTAGTACATATGAGAAGGAACTAGATGTCTTGAATATGAGCCAGTAGGCTAGCACAACTGCTGAAAAGGCTGAGACAGTCCTAAACTGCATCTATAGAAGCATGATATCTAGCCCACAATAACATCCAGGCCATATCTGGACCACCATGTTAAGCTTTGGCAAAGCTTTTTGTAGTGGTGATGGGGCCAGGATGTTGATGAAGCTGGAAAGCAAATCCTATAAGAAAAAACTGGGTAGATTTAGAAGAAAGTATTAAGAGGAAAGTATTAAGACTGATGTTAGCAGTCATCAACTGTCTGGAGGGCTGTCATGAAATAGACTTATTCCAACTGGCACAATGGAGTCAGTGGATCTTTTTGTTCTTGCTTTCTTTTGGTCCTCTTTTTTCTGACCTCTTTTTTCTCATTTAGGCCACTTTTTTGTGAGAAGCCCTCATTATTGCCTGTGCCTGGCTTAAAGTGTGTTTGTGAGGATGGAATAATAGAGTTGAGAAGAGAGGACTATACTATACAAATGGATGTATTTTAGAGTGAATTGTGCTCTAATGGGGGAGGGTAAGCTCTTCACAGGGGTGCAGAATAGCCACTTTCTTGGCAGCAAAGGGACACTTGGCTCACTGCTGCTCTGTTCTTGCTGTTCCCAGGTATGAGGTGATGCAATTTTGCTGGCTCCAGCCAGACCAGCGTCCCACCGCAGAGGAGGTGCACCTTTTGCTCTCATACCTCTGTGCCAAAGGGGCTTCAGAAGCTGAGGAGGAGTTTGAGCGACGCTGGAATTCCATGAAACCTGGAGGCAGTGGAGGTTCAGGCTCTGGCTCCAACCACATGGGTGTTGAGCTTTCCTCCTTCCCCCTTCTGGAGCATTTCTCCAGTGATGGTGATGATGTTCTAACTGTTATGGAGACAAGCCATGGCCTCAACTTTGAATACAAGTGGGACCAAGGAAAAGCTGAGCATCTCCCAGCCTCAGCTATGAGCCCTGGTGGTGCTGCACGCTACCATGAGCTCTACTATTCAGCTAGCAGCAGCAGTGGAGGTGGTGGTGGGCACCTCACCCTGGGTGTGTCACCATCTTGCTATGAATGTAAAATGCAGGGGTGCCCTGGTTTGCACACACCAGGGGTGGTACCTGTGTTGAGTGCCCACAGCCCCTCTCTGAACAGTGAGTACTATATTCGCATTGAAGAGGTGGCATCTGAAGGCAGTGGGAATGACCTTGATTATACGGTGTGCTCCTACAGCCCAGAGTTTAGCCATTCTTCACATTGGCAAACCAAGGAGGACCATTATGAATCCAACAATAGTCCCACCATCTCACTCACCATGGAACCCCTCCTGGGCCACTCAGCACACACTGAAAGCCACTGGGAACCCTCTGACTATTACTCCTATGGAGAACAAGACAATAAAGAGGCCCCATACTATGAGGACTCCCTGAAGGACAGCGCTGAGAACTACCTGCTCAAGGACCCCAGTGCTTCTGAGTGGCCTGTTCTAGCTTTGGAGAAAAGCATTTTTGCTGATCCACTTGGTGTATCACCACCAGTGAATTACACCTGTAAGGAGGCTGTGTCAGACTCAGTTACTCTGGAAGTGGCAGAGGAGGAGCACTTATGTGACAGCCCTAGGAGTGAAGGAAATGAAAATTCTGAATCCCCCTCTTCACGCAAGCATTGGACATCCAACACCTCAGCCAAAAATAATAGTGATCACCTACTGCCACCATGTGAACCACTTTCCAAAGATAGCTGGTGCTACCGGCACATGATCACCTTCCAGGGGCTAATGGCACAGCCACTGTGCACAGTGCCACGGGATGAGCCAACATTAGGGATCAAAGATCTGCGAGCAGCTCTGCTAGGTGGGGAACACTTGACATCTTCTCATATAGGCTCCCCATGTCCAGACAGTGATTTGCCTGCAGAGGAAAAAACATCAGTTGAAGTTCCTGCTACATTGTCTGGCATAGAAAGCTCTACAGATTCCTTGCTGGACAGCAGAGTGGAGTGCCCACCAGCCACCACTCCACCATCAGGGGAAGCAGTTTTGATGGAACTGTCATCATCATCATTGTCATCATTCAAGGAGGAACTTGCCAGCAGCATGGATGCTATAGATCCAGATCTGCAGGGTGAATCAATAGCTGGGGTGCCAAACATAGAGGAAGACCCCATGGAAGAGACTTCCATTGGATGCTCACTTCAGTTGTCACAGGAGATCAATATAGAAAGTGGCAAGAATACCAGTAGTGAACAAGATAGAACACCAGACAAGACTGTTTCAAGTACCAGTTTCCCTGACTTGGATGAGGCCAGTGATGAGGACTCAGCTGATCTTACATCTGGTGTTTTTATTGACTTCCCAGTTGATTGTCTTGAGCGGCAGGATGTAATACCCACTTTCAAAACCTTACAGAAACAGGTAGGGACTCCTGATTCACTAGATTCATTGGATATTCCCTCTACCACCAGCTCCTGTGAAGCATTCAGTCCCACAGCTTATATACCCTCAAGCCAGCCTAAGGCTCTGGATAGTGGCTATGATACAGAGAACTATGAGTCACCTGAATTTGTCCTCAGGGAGCCTCATGAATCACGGGAATCTGAAGGTTCTGATAAACTGGGAACATTTGAAGATGATAAGGATGACCAAGCCAAAGAGCAGAGCCTTTCTGATTCCTTTACTGCTGAGTTGCAGGCCTTGAATGAGAAGAATCCTTACCGTGACTCTGCCTACTTCTCTGACTATGATACAGAAGGTGGAACTCGGGAGGATGGGGAAGAGGACAGTGATGCTTCTGAGGAACATGAACTAGAGGTCTCCCAATTGCACACTGAAGAACTGAAGGAGAACTCTGAACAAACTGGCAGAACAGGCAAGCCTCTGTCTTCTGGTTCTGAGCCCATTTGTCCACATGGAGACTGTGTGGGTTGCATCTCTCCAGGAACTGAGGACCAGGACACAGGGGAAGACAGAGATATTAACTTGTCACAGGAACTATTGATGAATGAAGGGACTGTTGATGAGTTAGACTCAAACTTATTTCAAGATAAGAATAATGGGACAGTTGTGGAATCCCAGACACCAGCCCCTGCCACCAGATCTTTCTTCTTGTCTCCTGTAGTCACCAATCTAGAGGTAGCCACAATAGGTGGTGAAGAAAATGAGGTAAAGGATGTAGGGCAGGAGAGTGTGACAAGGAACACTAAACAGCATGAGGAAAGACAGGTAATTGGCCATCCCAAGGAACCTCAGAGCAGCCCTGGGCTCTCACTGGAACTGTCAGTAGTACCATCCCAGCTCTCATCTATCCCCACTGATCTTGAAGAGGAAGAAGATGACACTGAGGACAGTGATGAGTCAGATGAGGAGCTGCGGTGCTACAACATTCAGGACCAGAGTGAGGAAAGTGAGGAGGAATCACCTGCTGTGCCCATTGTGGTGGCTGAGAGCCACAGCGCTCGCAACCTGCGCAGTCTGCTTAAGATGCCCAGCCTATTGGTGGAGACCTTTTGTGATGATCTTGACCGCAAGAAGAAAGCTGTTTCCTTCACTGAAGATGTCACTGTCTACCTCTTTGACCAGGTGACTTGTTTGGGGAGGGGCTGGAGAGACAACCTGAGGTAGCTCAGAAAAGGATTCAGGGAACAGAGTGTATCCTGTGCTAAACATCCTCATATCAGCAAGCCAAAATATGCAATCAGATTCCTTCTAGAAGTTTTAGACTATATTCTCTTGCCAGTGCAAAGCTGGTGAGGGCTGATGGGAGTCTAAAGCACCTAGAAGACCTCAGGTTCTTTATACCTTACAGCTACCATATCTGGTCTGCAAAATCCAGACTTTTCTATATTTCTTTGTGGTCAACTGGATCTTTGCAGTGGAGATCTGATTGATCTACATACAGTACTGTGCAAAAGTTTTAGGCAGGTGTGAAAAAATCCTGTAAAGTAAGAATGCTTTCAAAAATATATATTGTAATTGTTTA